AAATTCAGCCTTTATGTAAGTTTATGTAAAACAGCAGAATTATTATTTGCTTACATCAACTGAATTTGGCATAAAGTAGGCAGGTGGGAGATTTCTTTTTAGAGAGAGAGAGAGAATTTTTCATCCCTGCTCATCTAAAGTAGTTGTCTTTGCTTTCAGGTTTATTTGAAGTAGTTGAATGACTCCCTTGCAGCAGGGAAGCTGTTTGCATGGTGCTGTCAGTGACGTCCCTTTCTTGCTATCTCTGTCTCATGGAAGTGAGGGTTATGTGAGAGCAGGAGATGAGAAGAGATTGTATTTTACATAGGACTTATAACTTGGTAGCTAGGTGAAATTTTCCAGTGTTTTTATGTTGAAGTAAAAATACTCTTAAGGTGGAAAACAAAGCAATAATGCTCTGGAACTAACGGTGTTCACTGTTAGGGTGTGATTTTAATTCAGGAAGCTTGTGACCTGTGTGATCCTTTCTTGTTAGTACATGCTTTTCTGCTTATAGGTCTCCTGATCAACAAAGGGCTAAAGATAAGGATCTTATATTTCTTGCATGAAAAAGGGCACAGTAAGAGATTGATGAACAGATGCTTTTATAATAAAGCTCTTTTGTCTCATTGAAAGTGTAGATTGCTAGCTATTACATGCCCCTGAACGGTTTTCCTTTCAGTGTTATCATATAGTGACTTTAATGCGATGAGGCATTAGAAAAGATTGAATTATTTTAATTTTACTTTTTCACTGGGTTCTGAAGCCATTGTGTTTTATTTTGAGGTAAATTATTCTATTTATCTTGTCTGCATAAATACCTTTATGAATAATGCACGAAGCTGGGATGGTAATAGTAAAAATTACAGACCTGTCCTTAAAGGACAGGATTAGCATCCTGAAAGAGCTTATTCAAAACCAACTGGTGCCTTTATTTCACAATACAAAAATGTGCCATTTTTGAGCTTTTGCAAAGCCATTATAGTGGAGTTGCCAGATCTATTAACAGTTCTGTACTAGTGACAGTTAAATAACGGTGTAGGGCAAAGGGAAGCAATGGAATGGTCTGTACAGCATCTTCTTTCACATGGATGTTTTAAGATGGCTTGAATGAAAAAAAACTTGCAACAATAGTTCCACAGGGGTAAGAGCAGTAGTCTCTTATGTTGAATTACAGCTACAAAAGGAAATTATTAGACTTAATGCAAAGGTAGTGCAGAGTTTTAGCCAAAGACTACAGAGGCAAATTAAGGTTATGGGAAATTTTCAGTTCCCGAGAAAATACTAAATAGGCCATTTCTCACAAGCACTCTGTCTTAGACTGTCTAGCTATTAACGCAGACATACAGAAGGCCCATACAAATTTGAGAGTTGGTGAATGTGTTTTCACTGACTTCTGTGAGCCTGGCTTAGCCGTGTGGGATGACAAGGTGAAGATGTGCATGTAAAGACCCAGGCTCCTCCATCCATGGCTGGATGCTGTGATGAGGCAGAGCCTGGAACGCTGGGAGCTGTGTGCTCACTCTGCACTGAAGGTGGGCAAGACCTAAAACATGGGAGCCCAGACAAAAAATGTCAACCCATTGTTTCCTCTGGCATGTGTCATTGGAGGATTTCTGAACTGGTTTTTCTGTGCTCCTGTGAAGAATGATTATAATTTATGTAGTATTTTCACTCTCACGTCAGAGGTATACACTTTTATTTCAGCTTAACATAACCTTATGAAGAAAGTATATGTACTGTATTCTGGTAAGCATCTGCGCACACAAAGCAGACACACGCACAAATAGAACGTGTATAGCTCAAATTCTATGGCAAAACCCCAAATCAGATTTTGATAGAAAAATATTCATCCTGAGGCAAGTATGCAAATATAGTGCTAGGATCTAAAGATGGAAAACCAAAGATGAAGACAGGTGAATTGTTTCTAATTCCCTGAACTGACCATTATGGATAGCAACATCTTCCTATGCAGGAAAAATCCTCAAAATGTGTTTTCAAAAGTCATTATATGTCCAGATGGAAATTATCTATTAGGTAAACTAAGTAGTGTCACGGTAAGTGATACACCATTTTGTAATGCTGTTATTTGCAGTTTCCTCTTGGTATTATGAGCTATCTTAAATACTTCTGAATTTCTAAAACAAATCCATAGTATTTTCCTATTCCTGCAGAGATGTTTATATTTATGCTGCAAATAATGCACAGGATCACAGGAGAAGCTTACAGACCTAATCATAATGTTTTCTCCCCTCTTGCTTTTTATGTACATCACTTTAAGTGTGGGAATAAGAAAATGTAATGTATTAGACAAATGGAGAAGCTGCTAATGGTTTTCCTTGTTTATACGGCTCTTCAAGCGTATTGTTTTACATGGTGCTGCTAATGATGTGTTGCCGAAGGAATATTAACTGGCTGCAGACACAGGGGAAGGGGTTGCTTCCCCATCCTCCTCCTCCTCCTCCCTGCACCATCAGCGCAGCCCATCTCTAGCACGCACACACACACCTCTCATAAGCTGAAAAGGGCTCTGGAAGGGGAGAGGTAGCAGTAGGGAGCAGAGCTTGAATAATTTTTTCAGTAGTTGCTTCTGCATCACTGATGTCTTTCATGACAAATTTTCCCAAAGCAGCCAGCACCACACCTCTTTTTCCCTTGCCCTCTGCCCCTGGCGTGGGTTGGGCAGTACTGGCGTAACTGTCCTGGTTTAAGGAGATCAGGGAAATAAAGGAAGAACCTACACAACTGAAAATGAGTTCTGTTTTCCCAGCTCTGCTGGTTTAAGAAATTGGTTTGTGTTTACCTAAAGATCGGTGACAAAAACCATAGACAAAATCTATAGACTGGTATGGTACTGCCATAAGACAGCCATGTAGTCTTGAAATAGTTTTATGTATTATTTTACTTTTCTTGCATAACCCAGAGAGATTCATACACTGATGCTCCTCTTCCATTGAGTGATCTGCTGCTTAGGTTTGGTACCGTGGCAGACAGGCTTTTTGAAAAGAAATCTCCCAGTCAATTAATATCCTATACCATAAACACTTTCAAAATGGCTCAAGTTTAGAAATGAAATTTAGGGAAACTATTGATTTTGTAATTTAAAATGTAAAATTGAATGGTTTGCAGTCCCATGCAAGACTGACCCGAGGAAGCTATCTTTAAACAGGAACATTCTGACTCAACTCTGGGAATGAGAAGAAAGCGAGAAAAAGGATCCATTTACAATTGACCTGCAATAGCAAATTCATTCATTTTCTGAATAGAATTAAACTTGTTCCATCAGCCATGACATGTGAAAAGATCATGGTTATAAATTCCATTTGCTGTAATGAATTGAAAGTGTCTCAGTTTGCAAGCAACACTCATCGTTGATGGACAGCTAGATTTGTAGAAGCTAATTTTAATGTTAAAACACTGTACAAAATACAAAGTACAGAAGAGGTGGCAGCAGTGACAGATTTTAAAGCATAAAAAAGACTTTATTGTTCGATGAAAGCTGAATAAAGCTAGAAATAAATAGTGGTTATAACCCTGTTACATAGATAAGTTGTTTCATTCTTGAGTGAGGCTGAACGCAAAACCAGAAAAAGGCATTTGTGTAGTTTTTTCAGCCATATTTCAACAAGAATATATATTGTTACTTATTTGTATGTTATTCCTTGTAAAATGTAAGAAAATGGAATTGTATTGAAGCATACTTAATTCAAATCAATTTCAACATACATCAAGGTGGCTCCACTGTAGTTAGTGAAACGATATTGGTGTATGTACTTTGTAAATTGAGATAAAAGCTAAGCTCTGTGGTTACTTAAGAGCCTTAACTCAGACTTCCATTAGGATCATGAAACACTTTTGCTTTGCTTGCAGAATTACATGCAGTTTCATAACTATTATCCCCAAATTTGTGTTTGGTGTACACAGTTTTATACATATTTTAAATGTACTGATTGCCAATGGAAAATTCTCAGCAGATGAAAACGGCTATGTGTGGATAATTTGGGATTCATTTTAATTGATAATGTACCCAGCTGAAAACTGTCCAAGATTGAAAAAAAAAAAAAAGAAAAGAAAAAAAGCTTGAGCTAAACAGAGGAATGAAAATATAATAGCTTCTTAAATTACCTTAAGGTTAACATAATTAATTCACTAATTTTAATTACAACCCTACAAAATGTGCTGAAAAATGCTCAAAGGGGAGAAGCAGCCAGTTGCCAGCCATGATTAACCAAGGTTGCTTGCAATTATGAGGTCTCTATTAACCATGTTACAGAAGTTTTAAAACTTCCTTTGTAACAACAGCACATTTATTGAAGCTCAGCAGGGTTTTCATCTTGCTGTACCTTTCCATTGCTACACACTTGCTGTCATTTGCCTCACTCTTTTCCAGCTAAATGTTTTGTTGCAGCTGAAACATGGACTGCTTTTTCTGTTTGTCACATGCTGTTATACATATAGTAGGTATTTATTTTTATCATATATACAAAAGATATTAACCCTTGTTTGCAAAGTGCTCTGAGCACCCTAAGTGCCAGATAGCTGCCAGTGTAGCAGCTGAACACTAGAAACTCAAATCCTAAAGAAAATGCTCATTCTTTTCAAGGTGTCCTGGGCATACAGTTTGTAAAGCAGGAATATTGCTGAAACTGCCTTTGCAGTGGAGCACCTGCTCTGTAGTGCTTTATACACACAGGCAAATGTAACTTCTGAGTTAAATACAAAGAACAAAAGAAGTGCATGTTTGCTTTGCATTTTTAACAAATCATGGTGTAAATGAATGTCTTGTATGTATCAAATTCCATGATGTATTATTGTTCTTTTTTATTGTTGTTATGTGAGTCATATTTTAAGTATCTGTTGTTTGGAACTGTAATAAAAACCTTGATCCATCTATTAAAGGAAGATTTAAAATAAAATAAATGTAAACAAAACAAAACAACAACAGAAAAAAAATTAACCTTAAAGCATTGGTGTCAAAGGAAATTAATTTCCTGGCTGGCTTGTGTTTTTCTCTGAGGCAGATATTGATGAGTGTGCAGAGGGGATCATTGAGTGTCACAACCATTCACGCTGTGTTAACCTCCCAGGGTGGTACCACTGTGAGTGCAGAAGCGGTTTCCATGACAATGGAAGCTATTCTCTTGCCGGGGAGTCCTGTGTTGGTAAGCAATGATCAGCATAGCGCTTTTTCTTTTCCTCCTTCTGCATGGTGTTACAAAGTGACTCTTGAGACACTGTCCTGAGCAGTTGCTGTGTTTAAGACTGAAATGAGAATGCAAGCGAGCGTGTCTGTGATTGTCAGCATCCCCAGCCACACAGGGTGGGTGCTTGGTTCAAGATGCGTCACATTTTTGAACAGTTATTACAGGAGGGAGGCAGTCAGAGATCCAAAGTGTGACTTACTGAGCTTTGCCATTTATCAAAATAAGTTGCTGTAAAACCTGAAGTGAAAGTAGGCTTTCTGGGGAGCGTAATATGCCACAAAAGGGGAAGAGTTAGTTTTCAATTTTCAAATATCAGTTGGGGGTATGTCTGTGTTGCTTCGATTTGTTTGGTTTACATTGTTTGGCATCCTCATAATTTTATTATTAGAAGTATGCAAATAGTGTGAAGCACCATATGCACCATATTTTCAGAGTAAGGCTCTAAGAGCATGAACGGAGAGGGATTTTTGAAGGGTGCAGCAGAGTTTGTCAGTTGTTTCTGTGAGAGGACAAGGGATGAGGCACCATAGGGATTTAGTTCTTGCAGTCTTCGTGCCCTTGACTGGATGTAGAATCCTGGAATTATGGAACGGTTTGGGTTGGAAGGGGCCTTTAAAAGTCATCTAGTCCAACCTCCTGCCATAAGCAGGGATGTAAGACTGTGTACCACTACAGCAAGAAAGCAGTAATAAAATCATAATGAGGATGGTAATTGAGGCTTTCCTCAGCCCTACATTTTTCCAACTTTTTACTTATTCTCAGAAGCCTTATACATAATTTTTATATGATATTTTATCAGATGAGTTTAAAACTATTTAGAAAGAATCCCATTTTAACTTCTGTAGAGATACAGATCTACTTCTCATAGTTCTGTGTCTTTTCTTTGGAATTTCAGTTACTTCATCTCTACTTAGTTCTATGAATTTTCTATGAAAGCTTTTCTGCTTCTTCTGTGAAAGACTTTTTTTTTTAACAGTGTAAATTTTTCATTTGTCATGTCCACAAATGCAAAGGGCTCTTTCTAATTTTAAAGTGTATGATTACAGTAAAACTTAAAATAAAAATCTGTAATAGAAATATATACATTTACTTGTAACTTATAACAAACATTCCTATGTTTTACAAATTTTTGGCTATTAGAAATCCTTGGGATAAGGTACCATCCTGATTTAAAAATGCATATGAACAATAATTATTTTCAAACACAATATTTTGTCACTTTGTGACATATTTTGCACATTGTCCTTAGCTGGCGAGGAGCTCAATAAAATCGCAGCAGTGAACTTCATTGGTATGGCTGTGTAAAAAATGGCAAACTTTACAGCATTTTGTGACTTAATACATAAAATACCACGTGAAAGTCATATTTCTAAACAGATTCTCACACGTTTAGAGTTCTCCTCTGGTTTATTTAGTTACTGTAAAAGGAGTGGTGGGCCGAGCAATGTTGAAAATACTTGCTTTATGAGTAGTCAAAGCAACTTTACATAGCCTTCAAAAAGCCCTGAGGTAACTGGGGATCAGGGGCATTTATAGTGCTCCTGATGCCTACCTGTCCTGCTGGCATGGCACCCCTTGTCAGGCTGCCTTTACGTAGCTGTTTTGGGATGGAGAAGATCTAAGGCTCAGCTTGGTCTCAGGAAAAGACAGACGCACAGACAAGACTAGTTTTGAATGGCCCCCAGCTAGGCTTAGTTGCTGAAAAAGTCGGTATTGCTTGCATTGCATCGCTATTAAAGGGAAGGGCACTTGGCTACCTCAAAGCAAAAAGAAGCCCAAAATGTTCTGCATTCTATGGAGACTGAAGGGGTGAGTTTTCATAAAAGCAAACTGCAGTTGTTTTGACCTGTGCAGCATGCTGGAAGTTCATAAGGTGAGGTGCTCATCTTGCCATATGCAAGTTGTAAACAGAATGTAAAATGAGCAGGGTTATTTTAACAAAATAGCTTTTCTGAATCATCTGCTGCAGAGTACCAGTGAGAAAGAGAATAAACCAGTTTATTTTATTTCTTTATACTGGTTAACCAATTAAAAATTAATTGAAAAATTCTTCTAACCCATACTGACAAAGAAATTTGAAACCATGATGTTTGTTTTAAAGTGCAACTAAGAACTGGTTAAAATGACAGCTAACACTAGACATTCTGGCTAAAACACGGTTTCTTGAGCACTGACTTTCATCACATTACAGAGCTTGCTTGCATGGTGGAGTAATTAGAGTCAGGGCCAGTATCATTCACTCTGTTTTATATAAAAGAGGGTTCATCTGCTTAGCAACAGCGTTTTGTCCTGGTATATTTTACAGACTGCATACTGGAATCTTGATGCATACCTGAGGTGGATTTGAGCCGTATTTTGAAATGTTTCTTCTTCCTCCCCGAAGGACAAAACTTGGAGTACAATAAGTAGACTAAGAACACAAGTAGAAAAGGTTAAACCTTCCCCCTCAAAATAATCATAATAATAACATATGAATATCATAAGGCAGTGGGAGGGAGCACTCAGCTCTGACAGATTCCTCAAAGCCCAGGCAGCTGGTTTGTTTTTGCAGGATGCATTTTTGCATCTATTGGTTAACCCCCTTTCCCTCTGTTTATATGTAGGTGGTCTTGGAGCTGAGTCATTGCTTGCAGTGCCTCTGTGGTGCTTGTAGAACATTTTAAAAAATAACATCTATTTGGGAAGTGTTTTGATACCTCAGTGGTTCCAAAAGCTCTGTTCTCATTTATTAAGTGAAAATAGTGGAGTTTGTCACCTGGCAAGGGACAAATGTATAAATCAACGGATGTGGTGGAGAAGGTCATAGTATTGAACCAGAGCTCAGGTAATAAGGATATATGATTTAGCCAGACCACTTCAAGCTTGGGAAAATTCTTTTATTGCTCAAAATATCAACCAAAGGCAGCTTTGAAAAGGGAATATATTTCCATGGCCATGGTTTTATAAAAGATGTCAGCTTCATAAACTGATGGTGAGCAGGCTCAAATTAAGAGAATGTAATTTAATTTCCAGTGGTATTGTTTTTATGAGGCACTGGCCTTTCACAGTATGTTATTAAGAATACTGCTTGCAGACAAAAGACAATTGCTGTACTAAGTTGATACCTAAGTTTACTTGGCAATTAAAATGTGAAGCCTATAGTTACTGGGTTATATTTTTTTTCCTTTTTTAATAGGAGCTTTGCTATACTTTAAGGTAAACAAACAAAAATACTTTATAGAGAACTATGAGTTGTCATATGATATATATGCCAGTATTAACTACTATCTAATGATACCATATTGAAGCAACTGGCATACACTGTTTTTTCCCCTGCACTAAGGTACCTGTTGCCTACTACTATCTCATCAGTTAGTCATTGAATAAGCCGTCACCACTGAATTTTCAGTGATAACCTTTGAGATTATCAGAACCAAAAGAAAGGGAAAACTGGCAAAGAAATGCTGTATTCTGGGAAGTTAATAATGTCTCACAAATCTCCCTCTTATCTACAGCAGAAAAATAAAAGCAAATTAAATTATACTTTTTAATCTCCATCTCTCTTTAAGTGACATGCTTCCAGTCTGTAGGGAGCTGTTCAGACCCTGGAGTACAGAATTCCCGATTCCTTTTTTTTCATCATCGTTTGTGTTTCTGAGTCTCTGCGTTGTGACTTGCAAGCACAGAAGGGAAAAAAACACCAAAAAACCCACAAAAAAACCCCAAAACCAAAACCAAACAAGGCAGCAGTCCCTGTCAGTTGTTGGTTATTTTTTAATTTTCTTTAAGAATCAGTTCAAATTTAGTAGGGAAGCTTAACATGGATCCTCCTCCCACCAAAAAACCACCTCAGGATTCACCATGCATTTTGTCCTGAAAAGTTGCATAGTTCACTGCAGGGTTAGAGTAGCTGTTGTGGGGGAATGAAAGCTGGAAAAAGGTAGGACTCATCAGATACGAGAGAAAACTCCACATGTATTCATCTCCCACAAAAGTTGGGTGCAGCAGTGCTTGAGGTTCAAGTCCGAATGGGTTTAAAAGTACTTCCTGAAGCTTTCATATACTCCATAGTATGCTGCAGTACTGTCTGTTACCTAGATTAGAAAGAGAAAAGGTTTGTTCTGTGTTTATTTTGCCCCCTTTCTGTGTCAAACAAAAGGCTTTGAAAATCTTCCTGTGTGCCTGAGAATTGGTTTTCTATCATTAGAGAAGTGGTATGTAGACCAAAGAGGTTTGCATATGGTACAGAGTATCCAAGACCAAATCTAGAACCTGCTGGTTTACGACTTTCTTTTGTTCTGCTCATAGGAATTCTTAAAGTTCATAGTATCAGTGTGTGGATTTTATAATGCAAAATAAAAATTATCTTGCTTGCTTTCTATTTAGTAAATTCTGACTCTTGTATTCTGAAAGATGTGTCTTCAAGGTAATTGTGTTTAGTCACTCCTGTATTTCTAGAAAGCATTAGTAAATCCTATATTCAGGATCTAATTTACTAGTCAGTGTTCTTAAATAGACCATTATGTCTCTATAGAATAAAAGTACTATCATAAAATATTTTCTAAATGAAAATGAATCTGTTTAGTGATTTTTTTTCAAAGACGAGTCCAAATCAATTTGATTTAGAAAGAAGGCAAATACATTAAGTCACAAGTTGCCTGTGAAAAATGATATGTCAAAACAGTGTTTAGTTAACTTGTACATACATTGCTTTGGGAGCCCAGCATACATTTTTCATGCTAACATTATACTGTAATGGTTTAATGTACCGTAACAGTTAAAATTAGCACATTAGTAGGATTCTTTCTTCTGCAACAGCTTATCATGATATTACAGAGCACCACACTGCATGACTTGCTTGCACATATTTATTAAGGTGCTATAGAAAAGTCATACCATTAAAACCTCAATAGCCTTGCAAACTAAGAAATGAAGTAGCTAGGGATTGCTTAACATTTCAGTGAAACCAAGTTAATGAACTTGTGTTGATATGTACAGTCATGCTTGTCTTCTACCCCATTCAAATACAGTGGCCATGGGACCTCTCATAATATCTGAGGCAAATTACTTCTCATTACAGCCAAAAAGGATGGAAAAGGAAATTACATCTCAGGGGATTATTCTGTTTCTCTTTGATTCTGATTCCGTGTCTGCCTATGTATATCTTTCTGTACTTTGATGGTATACTAGGAAATGAACACATCTTAGGTGGTTTGTTTTCTTTATTTTCCCATCCACAAAATGTGAATACTTGCCTTGTGCCTAAAATACATACGATCAGGTACTTGTTGCTGTACACTTATTTAAAGAAGCACAGATTGGGAGTGTTTGAAAAGTGAAGACCTGGATCAGTTCTATGACAGTCCTGTCAATGCTTGAGGTGGCATGTCTCAGCAACAAGCACTTTGCTGTTGGCTATATGTTGTTGATAGAAAATAGCATAAGGCTAGCATTACAAGCAAGTTTCTGATTATGGTCATTTCCACTGTATCTTCACTTTTTCTTGAAAAGGAACTGTGTGGAGGGGGGAAGTAAAGCCCTGCCACTTTTAGTTAGGTTAATTACTAATCTGCCAAAGATTATCTCAGTATAATGAGTAAGATTGCAAATCCCTATTCCATGTGTGAAAATGAGATTGTTTTCAGAGGTTGACAGGGTACATGGAAGAACTAATGCCCCCAAAGTCAAGACAGGCATCTTGTTCTTGTGCTATATACAGGGATAGACTATGGAATCTTCTTGCTATTTCATATATGTACTTGTCTATTGTTCTTCAAAGTTGCTTGATTTATAAATTAATATTTCATAATCTTCCTACCTGGTATTGTTATAGTGGTAAATAATATTTGTGTACAGTTTTGCCTTGCCCATCATTAAGCGTTCCAGTTTTCGACCCACATCTTCTGAGAGCAGTTATGTAAAAGCAAGTAAAACCTGATGGGAGTGTGGGGAATTTAAACTGAGTAAGGATTTGAATAATATAAAAATAATCTATATGCAAGATTCTTGTCATACAGTTTTCATATTCATTAGGAGATTGTTTTGGATATGTTCAGAATTTTAAACTAAGCTAATTTTTCAGCACCTAAGTAGACACATTGATTCCACTTGTTAAGAGAAATTTCACTAAATACGGATATGTTCTTCTGTGTTTTGCATAGCCATCTACATACTGATCTCATGTCGCTATCAGCAAGTCCATTTGATCCCCATTAAACTGAAATACTTTCTTAAGCTAACTGGGAGCTAACAATATAGAGTTTTTGTCTGGGTTCTTTTCCTTCCCCACCCCTTCAATCTGTTTTGAAGCTGAAAAAGTGAAAAGGACAGAAACATCTTACACTTTTAACTACTTTTCCTCAAGTTACTGGGAACATTTGCTGTTTGTTCTGACTTTTAGAAATAAGATCAGCGACAAGAAAAAACTGTTAAAGGGATTTTCTTAGAAAATTAGCTCTATTAAAAGTTCAGCTGGAAAAGACTGCAGTGTCCAAGCCTTTTATATTTGATTAATAACTAAAACTTTTAAATAATAATGGCCATAAAATAATAAGAAACCATCATTTGCATAAAGAATGAAAAAAAATGAGCAAACTGAGTAGTAATTAGGAATTTATGTTCACACATATTATTCAGCTTTGCTTGATTGGTTTCATTGTCATGAATGTCCCATTTACAAGTTTGGGCTGTTCTTAATGGGGACATCCTTTATATCTGTGCTAAGCAGAGAAAAGCAGTAGCAGTACATAAATAGGATGTTCTTCCCTTTCGGATACGTATAACAAATTAAATTGGGTTTGTGCAGTGTGAACAGGTCTGTAGTACTGAGAATATGAATAATGTTAGTTTCTATAATTGCTAACATCTGGCTTTCCATAAATCTGTTAAATTACATGGAAACAGAATTAGATTTCTGTGTCATAAGTAAAGCAATTACATGGAACTCTTTAGGCAATATGGCTTTATATTCATCTGTGAAATCCTTTCAGTTTTGAACTGTGAAAGTTACCCTTCTAATCTGCACTCTGATCCTATGTATATGCTATTCAAGGAGCCTTTAATATGGTAAGAAAGGAGAATATTGAAGATGCTTGGTGAAATCACCAAAGACAAAGTGAATGCTTCATTTATACCTTTGTCTTCAACATAAAATACAAGTCTATTCAAAGAAAAATGGGATATTTTTAAGAATACTTTAAGTCTTACAGTAACTGTTTGGATATAATTAATTTCATAGCAGTTCATTCATAGCTCTCTGCATGCCAGTCTTCATGGTTTTTACCTCTTGCGATACTCTGGCAGTTGTTAAACAATGAACTACAAGTTTTAATTTATTTTAGTGCAGCACCTTTTACACCATTGGTAGTGGACCTTTCAAATGCTTAGTGCTAAGCTACGCATAAGAGCAATAATGGGGTTTTTTTGGCAATTAAGACCATCAGGGCAGCAAAATACACCATTTTTTAGGGGAGTCTGAGTGACAAGTACTTGAATTGTGCTATTAGGCCACTGGGAACATATCTGACAGAGAACTGGCCCACAGCTTAGCCCAGGAGTGAAGCCCTTCTGCAGTGTAATTGCCTCCAGCTTCCCTTTGGGTCTATAAGCAGAAAAAGGAACAGTAATCTTCTGGCAGCCCAGGCCCCTGTCTCAGTCATGCAGGTTGATTTTGCATTGGATTTCATCCAAGGGCACTACAGCACTTCCACTTGTATCTTTTTTATATATATATATCAAACTATGATATATAAATTACAGTTCCTGGACTATTTATGAATTGAAATAAGGAATTTTACTAACCAAGTCTCGAGAGCATTCCCGAGGAGAAGGACTTGGAGGTGTCAGTCCATGAGAAGAAACTCAACATGAGCAGGCAATGTGCGCTTGCATCCCAGAAGGCCAACTGCATCCTGAGCTGTATCAAAAGAAGCATGGCCAGCAGATCGAGGGAAGTGTTTCTGCCCCTCTGCTCTGCTCTGGTGAGACCCCACCTGGAGTACTCTGTCCAGTTCTGGGGCCTCCAGTATATAAGAAGGACATCAAACTGTTGGAGTGGGTTCAGAGAAGGCCAGGAAGGTGATCCAAAAGCTGGAGCACCTCCCCTACAAGGACCAACAGAGAGTTGGGGCTGTTCAGCCTGGAGAAGAGAAGGCTCTGGGGGGAACTTACTGCAGTCTTCCATTTCCTGAAGGGTCCTACAAGAAAGCTGGGGAGAGACTTTTTACAAGGGCAGGTAGCAATAGAATGAGGAAGAGTGGTTTTAAACTGGAAGAGGGTAGATTTAGACTAGATATTGGGAAGAAATTCTTTACTGTGAGGGTGGTGAGACACTGGCACAGGTTACTCAGGGCAGTCATGGATGTCCCCTCCCCAGAAGTGTTCAAGGCCAGGTTGGATAGGGCTTTGGGACAACCCGGTCTAGTGGGAGGTGTCCCAGCCCATGGCAGGGAGGTTGGACTGGGTGATCTTTACGATCCCTTTCAATCCAAACCATTCTTTGATTCTATGATAAGTCAGAGGGAAAATAGTGATTTGATTGGTATAGAGAGTTTCCTTCAGCAGACTGAAAGAATTCTTAATGTCTTTTAAAGTTCTGGCTTTCTGTGGAGGTGTAGCCATGACACTTGTCCAAAAAGTAGGGCAACTGACCATCACATCCCACTTAAATTAGACTTTAGGTAATTTTCTTTGCAAATTTTATTAAATTTTTATTTTTTTTATATTTTAGGAAGGAATAAAAAGTACACTTGGGTAATATTGAACAGTTGTAAATTTCATGCTAGCAATTAGGTAATTTTAAATTGTAAGTGTGAGGATTCTTCCTTGTAATTTCTGAATTAATATAACAGTGTTCTGGAATTTTCATGATAGAAACCATCACATACTTGTAAAGCATTTTTTCTCCAGCTTTTCTGCTCTTGCTTACAGTTTTCATTGTTGTGTTGCAACGAGACCACCAGTTTACTGGTATGTTATCTAGACAACCTGTCAATATATTGTTCAAGAACAGTCTAAAGTTATTTTCTGAAAGAAATACCCTTTTTTCACAATGTGCTTAAAAATCTCACGTGTTTTGCTCCAAGAAAAAGAATCACCAGATAAATTCATATTGCATAATTATATTTTACCTTCCAAAAGCAATTTTAATGGGATACTGTAATTCATTTTTCTCTAGTGTATAATAATTTTCTTTTGTTACTTATTTCTTTGTGTCATTGCTAAATCATGCTTTTCCTCCATAGGTTTGTTCTAAGACTTTTTTTTTCTGTATAAGGTGCCTTTCATTTCTTTCTTCTTTTTTTTTTCTTTTTTTTTTAAATTCACTTATACCTTCCAGCAATGGAAAAAGAATATAACTGACTACTGTACTATGGGAAATGTTTATCACGCTAGGAACTTATGAAATATAGTGCTCTTCTATGTTGGTGTAAAGTCCAGAACAGAGTGATCTAACTGATAGAAAGTCACTCTGACTGTTCACTAGTTTCCAGTCACTGCAAAATGACTATACACTCTTGTCTGAAGGTTCAAGTTTATCATTGATACATAGTTCCACTAGGTATGTCAGACTCAGCATTTACAATTAAGCCTGCTGAAGATAGTTTAAGAATTTTTGTGGAATTAAAAGAATCACTCAAGAATAGCCTAAAGAAAAAATCAGTGTTTTTTGTCTAGCAAATAAATATGGAAGATATGATAAAAAAGGCACCCTCTTCTATCAGGAAGTCACATGAGCAGTAGTTAGTATGGAAATCATATTTGCCCTGTAAAAAGAAAATGTCTGAAGCATTATAAATCTGCTGTTTTGCAGATATCGACGAGTGTGCCTTAAAGACCCACACCTGTTGGAATGATTCAGCTTGTGTGAACCTGGCAGGAGGGTTTGATTGCCTTTGTCCATCCGGACCATCTTGCACTGGAGACTGTCCCCATGAAGGTGGCTTCAAGCGAAATGGACAGGTGTGGACCCTGAGGGAGGACAGATGCTCCGTTTGTTCCTGCAAGGTGAGATCCAGCTGGTCTGGGTTTCAGGAGGCCTTTACTTCTCTGGGCTCATGTCAGAAACCCAACATTGCAGTGTCAGTGGTGTTGGCAAAATACCTGGCCTAAGCCCGAGGCACTGAGGCAAAAGGTAAGCTCTGCTATGGACATTGAAGCTGTGATGGGGAAATTCATCTGTGAAGTTGTCTTTTTTTCTTCTTTCACATGACCACAAACACAGATGAGTAACGACTGACCCTGCTGAGCTTCTGCTGTATCACCCCGTGGGCCAGAGCCACTTGAAGTGAGCCTCAATGACAGTCTTCAGTTAGTTACCCTTTAATAGACCGTACAGGTGATCAGTGCACTTACTAGAAATGTTGAAAACTGTTTTCAGTTTCTGTTTCACATGAATATGCATTTCTGAGGACAAGTACTGTAGTCACCCATCTTCCAGTTGGTGGTGTTTTCCTTTAATTAGAATACACATGAATTAACTGGGTGAGGAGCAGGGCCTGAGCATGAGTCAAAGGTTAGATGACCTAGCAGCAGGCACTTAATTTTCTCAAATGAAGAAGGCTGAAGACCATCTTTCTCCTCCTTATCCCAGCTTGGTTGTGTTAGCAGCTCTCCCAGTTGAGCAGTGCAGTTCAGTCTGCACCTTTGGAGAAGCCAGGCATAGTATAAGTAGCTCTACTGTAGAGTTAATGCTAGATCAGTTTTTTGTTCCTCGCTACCCATTCCTTTTTCCTCCCCAGAAAGTTAGAAGTTATTTTCTGAGTGTGGTAATCAAGTGTAAAAGAACATTTGACCCTGCTTTCTTCATTTTCACTAGTTAAGAGGAGTGCTGTCCCTGAAATCAGAATTTTTGGTCAGTGGACCAATCTGAGAAATGGTTAGTCTTTTATGGCCACTTTGACCTGATGCATTCATAGCAAGCTGCCCTTAGACACAGTAGAAGACTTCTTGGCTCTTGCATATGTGTAAGTAAAGTGAGATTTTGGCCATTGTGAAAAGCTGAACATAGAGCATGAGAAGTGTTCTATCAATCCCCATGTCTTAATGCTGATGAGCCAGAGAAGCATTAAAGGGTTTGAGGGGGACAGGAGGAAAGAGTTGTTTTGAAGTTGCAAGAAGCTGAAAGCCTCATAATTTCTGTATAGTGTAGCAGAAAGGAAATGGAGACTTAAAAGTGAATAGAACCTGCAAAGTACACTACTGTTTTGGGCTCAAAAGGGAGTATGTTCTTCTTAGTTGCTGTATTTTTTACTTTAAGTAGCCTCAAGCTCCCCAAAACTCCTCCCTTCAGAAACTGAAGTGTACAACTCCACTGAATACATATCAAGCTTTTACTGTAATCTTGGGGAACTGGCTGGCTTATGAAAGGATTTCCAGTCAGTAGAATAAACAGTTTAATATATGTGAAGACATCTGGTCTGCCTTTGTAGAATTATAACTATTAGTATTCTCATTTTAGACTGCTTGTAATTTATTTGCCATTTCTCATTGCACTTATTTCTTATGTTGAATGTTCTTATTAGTATATGAAAATATACAAAATTATTAACTACTACATAGAAATTTGAATCTAAGCCTGGCACTGTTTGTTGCTATGACTCTTCTTTTATATCCTCCTCACTTTACAGTTTTTTTCCTCTGTGAATTAACATTTGCATTTAATTTCACTCCAGTAGCTGCCTTGTTTGAAGAGCCAAATTATTGTCTACAGAACAGAGAAAACAGGGAGAGCTCCTCCTCTGTTATATCTCAGGCAGGATGTAAAGTCTTCACTCAATGTTTATTGAAATATCTTATTGAAACATATTTTTATAGATTGTGATAGCTTCTGATACACCGGGCTACTTAAACCTGCTGCAGGACTCTATAATTTTCATGCGGTTGCACAGAGACCTGGCCTTGCTTGACCTTTTTGCAGTCTGTTCAGTTTTCAATGAGGAAAAGGGCAGAGTGTAACTAAATCATTACTTATACTTCTTACTCTAACTTTGAAATGCTCTTAGTCACTTGTTTTATCTAGAAGACAAATCAGCATTTAAAATAATATGTTTTCTTTTGGCTTTTCTTTTGTTCTGGTTGTTTTAGGAAAGGTCAGCTGGATGTATTTTATGAAGTGACTGAAAAGCATGGATTGCATCTTGAAAATATTTTAAATTAATTTCTGGTGCAAAGGAAATTGTGTATTTGATGCATCTTCTACAAATATCTTGTTAAACTCTTGTGGATTTAAATCACAATTAAATTTATGACTGGTAGGAATTTGAAGGGTAATAGGGAGCTTTTGCTCTCTCCCATGAAAATACTAAGCCTGGCTGTGCTGTCTGGCTATATCTCTGCTTTTGAGTCAGTTCTCTAATTAAGGCAACTGCCCATTCCCTGTATGATAAAAGCCTGGGGGATAAGCACAGCGCTGGGAACAGGCTGACGTGCCAAGGTGAAGTGTGTTCCTGAGGTTGCAAGAACAGTTTGGAGATGTGGTTCCTGCAGAGTCTGATTTCTGCCCAAATTGGCTTTGGGGCTCTGTGGAAACTTGAGTCACCCTTTACAGCGAGTCCCTTGTGTGTCAGGTTTTCCTTTAGTAGGAACAGTTTTGTGTTCATACCACTGATGTTTATGAAGCAGGTAGAGCTGATTCAGTGAGGAGGGTGGGGAGGAAGAGGCGTTAATAAGATTCTATATGTTATTACCCACCAAAAGAAAATAAGTTGCTTTCTATATAATTCTCAAATTTCTATGTATTTCTCAATGCTACTAGAAAGCTGCAAAGATGCAAGTGAGATGTTGCAGCTTAAGAAGCTTTGTATCACTGCAGTGTAGCGATAAAAATTTCTTTTGAAAGGCATGGAACTAATGAGGTTGTAGATAAAACACAGATGCTTAACAAAAAAAGAGAGTAACAGTGTATTATGATTACCAAAAGGTCTCTGGCAAAATCATATCAGGCTTTGTCAGTGTTCTGAAATACAGTAAGTAAAGGCAGTGTAAAAGGTTAGCTGCTCCCCAGAGATAACAGTACAGGAGCTCAGAGAAGCACTGTCACCAGCTGAAAGGGGAATTTGAAAGCTGATCTTGAAAGCTTGGAAACTGAACTGGAACTAAGCAGAGGTTATTGTCAGCCATTATTAATCAGCACTCCATTATGGAGAGGAGAGAGACTGCCATTGTCGAGGGCTTTGGGTTGCCTAGGTGCGTGGTGCAGCCCCATGTGCCTGGAGCTGGTCAGCCTGGCTGAGCTTTTGTGCTGAGCTGCCACTTGATGTCTGCCCTCAGCAAGGGGTGAAAGATGGTTGTGCTTTCCCACCTGCAAGAATGGAGATTTAGTCATAACTCTCCATCAGAGGAGTCTTCCGGTGCTCTTCTTTCACCGCTTGCTAAACAAGGAAGATGACTTTGTTCTTTGCTTTTTGTTGAAGCGATTTATTCCCAGCACTGCATATGGACCTGGCCGGACCTGTGGCTAAATGAATGGGCCACTGCTAGCCTTCCTTACATTATGATTTACTCAAACTGCTGAGTGAGGAAATAAAGCTTGTTTATTCCTTCTACCACAACTAAAGCCACAAACTACCCACAAGTAGAGAATCCTTAGTATCTTAATTTGATATGAAATTGACTGAAAACTGTAGGGTAAACGAGTCCTGTACCCTGTGGTTGGCAAAAGCAGTTCAGATCCATGTTAACCTAGCATGTGGTTAGCATTTCCATAATACTGTGTTCTTTTCAGCTTTCCTTGTTAGTCATAAGAAATAATTTTAATTATTCTTGTAACAGAAAGTAATCTTCTAATCAATTCAAAACTATGATGAAATGCAGCAGTGACAGTGGTTTTGTACATGTTGCATTGTGGCCAATGCCAAGACTGGCCAAGGACTGACTTCCCTTAAAAACAAGAGCCAAACACAGATTCCTACATCAAAACAAAAACAAAACAACCACCATGCCACATGCTGCAAAATATAGCTTCAGCCCTCTCACACCTCTACCTTAAAATTGCCTGCAGGGGACACTTTGCTTAAATAATGACTAATCCAATAACTGGCGTTAAATGCAATAGAAGTTAATGTCTAAACTTTTCAATAATCTCTGCACTGTTAACTGTGATTTCAGTTCCCAGTCTACATGTGGCATATCAGTGTGTTGGCTCACCTTCGGTAAGGGGTATAATTTCAAACACAATAGTCCATCCAATTTTCATAACTCGAATTAGAATAAATTTGTTTTTCTGTGCTACAAAGAGAATATATCATTTCCTTTTTACATGCAGAAGTAATTCTTCTGTTTATCTCAAACAGTTCTGTTTAATGGACTTTTAACAAAATAGGCCATCTAATACTGTAAGCAAATATTTAGCAAAATCATATTTTGGAGAGCCTGTAGAATACCAGCCCTCTTTAATACACGAATAGAATTATAATGGAAGATGATAGGTCCATTTAGCTTTAAGTTTATGTACTGTAGGTCCAGATGTGGAACAGAACCAGTGGTTAATTCAGAGTGAAGAATGATTAGTGCTACTGTGATTTTGCTGTATTGTGCTCCTATGAATCATAGAATCAAAGAATGGTTTGGGTTGGAAGGGACCTTTAAATGTTGTCAGGTTCAACCCCCTGCAGTGAGCAGGGACATCTTTAACTAAATCAGGTTGCTCAGAGCCCCATGAAACCTGACCTTGAATGTCTCCAGGGATGGGGCCTCCACCGCCTCTCTGGGCAACCTGTTCCAATGTTTCACCAACCACATAGGGAAGAACTTCTTCCTAATGTCTGACTTAAATCTACCCTGCTCTAGTTTAAAACCATTGCCCCTTGTCCTATCACTACATGCCCTTGTAAACAGTCCCTCCCCAGCTTTCTTGTAAGCCCCTTTCAGGTGCTGGAAGGCTGCTATAAGGTCTCCCCAGAGCCTTCTCTTCTCCAGGCTGAACAACCCCAACTCTCGCAGTCAGTCCTCATAGGAGATGTGCTCCATTCCTCTGATCATCTTCGTGGCCCTCCTCTGGATCTGCTCCAACAGCTCCATGTCCTTCTTATGTTGAGGGCTTCAGAGCTGAACGCAGTACTCCAGGTGAGGTCTCACCAGAGCAGAGGGGCAGAATCACCTCTATCAATCTGCTGGCCACGATTCTGTTGAAGCAGCCCAAGATGCGATTGGCCTTCTGGGCTGTGAGTGTGCATTCTTGGTTCATATCTAGCTTTTTGTCCACCAGTACCCCCAAGTTCTTCTCCATAAGGCTGCTCTTCATGAAGAATGAATTCTATGAAGTTAAAAGGACCACTTTCATAACTTCAGTTTATTTATTCAAGTTATTTTCTTCACAGTGATAGAGTCAGTCAAAATAGTGCTAAACCAATATTGTATGTATTAGAGTGGCAAATCCTTGACGAGTTCGTTGATGTAACAAATGCGATATGAAATTACTTCACTATATTTCTTCTGAGATACTGATTTTTTTAAAATTCAATTAACTGGAGACAGGAAAACAGGATTCTCAAATTCAGACAGTATTGGATCCAGTATGGCATAGAAATTGGGACAATACTGGTATTTGAGGTATTAATTGGCAGGATCTAGCCCTTGTTGGCAGTAACTTTGAATACATTAAGAATTTAATATTTCCTGATGTGCCAAAGACGTGCCCTTTGATATATGTATCCTGTGACCTTATCCGAGTTGCTGTCTGGCAGTTTGTGGTTGACATCAGGGCATTGTGTCCTCGCAGGACGGGAGGATTTTCTGCCGGAGGACAGCCTGCGACTGCGAGAACCCCAGTGCTGATCTCTTCTGCTGCCCGGAGTGTGACACCCGTGTCACCAGCCAGTGCCTCGACCAAACTGGGCACAAACTCTACCGCAGTGGAGACAACTGGACCTACAGCTGTCAGCAGTGCCGTTGCCTGGTATGGGTAAAGTGTTTCGGAAGGGAGCAAGAATAATAAGGCTTATGGTTTTCAGCAAAGCATACCTGGAAGCAGGCTCTCAGTTTTCTCTTTGTCTGCTTTTTCAGGCTGGGTATGATTATAAAGCACTTACAGAGCACCAGAGAACTGAAAGCTACAACATCATTTTTCCTTTTATTACTGATAAGTAGGTCTAATGAACAAAATTAAAAGCTTGACCAAAAACTTAGAAACCTTGTCACTATGTTAACTTTAGCATTAGTCTGCTTTTGAGAACTTTTGTGAGGTTGTCTGATCTTTAAATGACTTCTAAAATTTTTTTAACATGCAATGGATTTAGTTGGAGGAGTTTCAGCTTTAAATTACATCTGCTGGTGTACCTGTCTTATCAAAATGGACAATGCAATTCTTACATTTTTATTCAGCAAATGCTGGAAAAATGGAGTGCCAGTGTAATGTGGTGAATTAGCAAAAATTAACCAAAAAAATAAGGATAAAGAAATCTGAAATTACTAGACAACATGCAAAATAAAGAACATTTATTTTCTCATTAGGCATGGTAGATTATTTCCCTAAAGCTTTAAGTTTTGCACAGATACACTAATTAGTGCAGCAATGAATTTCATTACAATTATAATTTTTCCATTTATAGCGGTCTGTGTAACATAGTCTTTATATATGATATTAATCAAGAGGTGTCTGAGCATCAGGAAACAAATTACACTGAAAGCTAAGTTACTGCTAAGAGATAATTACACATAATGTACAGCAGTAAGTATTGTATTTTGCATTCTCTTAAGATTTTTTTATTAATGTTCACAAAAGAACAGCAAGAAACATTTGCAGCCAGCAGCAGTGGCAGATATTGAATGTGACATGTTTTACAAGGGTTACTGAGTTTGTGGCTAGCAGTTCTTTGCCTAATTTTATGACTGGGTTAACATACAGAGTTAAAAGACAGGGATGCCCTAAATCAGTGCTAGATGTAGGGTTCTGTGCAGGGTGTGATATTATCAACACCTGCGGTGCTTCCAGAGTAACATAATGCAAGTTATTGGAGCCCTGCGCAGGTTAACTTTAGACATGCACAGCAATACTCTACAGAAGTGAGCTGATGATTCCCTCCTCTCTATCTACTAAACTGCCTTTTTTTTTTTTTACAAAGCTAAATAATAAAATAAAATAACTCAGTGGAACATAACTGGTATTGCTCAAACAATTCCTTTAGGAGTTGACAGTAAAATAAATTTCAGCTGTTGCTAGTTAAATCAATGTTTAATGCTTCTGGAACATACTAACCTACATCTGTGTGCGGTGTTAGCTTTCTGTTTAAACAATTGCTGTGATCCCACAGAGATGTTTATGTGACCAGGAATAGAAAGAGGGCATGAATCTGCAAGGCAATTATTGCAAAAATTATAGTTTATGGAAAATATTGGAAGCCAGTATTTAATGCTGCCTTTAAAGACACGAAAGAACTATTTTCTCCTCCTATGATGATGACAGTGGTGGTATTTAGTCAAAACCCAAACAAATGATAGTCTGCTACATTTAGGAAACTTCAGCTCAGTATTCAAACATGCATTTATATGATCAAGCAAACTAAGAGCTGATTCATTAAGTTTATTTCAATTTTGTCAAAATAAAACCTTTCCATGCATCAGGATCTAAAGTTTCTTGGTAGCCAGCAAACGGCAACAAATTCCATGAGCTTTGCTTCCATTTTTACAGGAAGGAGAGGTGGATTGTTGGCCTCTCCTATGCCCAAATCTAAACTGCGAGTACACGGCTATCTCAGAAGGAGAGTGCTGTCCCCACTGTGTCAGTGACCCCTGTCTGGCTGACAACATCACCTATGACATCAGGAAAACCTGTCTAGATGGCTACGGAATTACAAGACTTAGCGGCGCTGTATGGACAATGGTGGGATCTCCTTGTACAACCTGCAAATGCAAGGTATGACGGCAAGGTAGAATAGTAATGGAAATGTAAGTTGTTGTGTTGCTGCATAAAATCAGGGTCACCTTCTGCCCTTTGAAGTTCACATTCAGATCTTGGGGAAGTAAAGGAGACCTGAGGGCAGAAGCCTACAGAAAACCCAAGGCTTTTGTGTTTTGCAGGGTAGAAACAAAACAATTCTGTGCTTGTTGAAAATGTTGAGTACAGATATGTAATTTCCTAGTGCATCTTTCAGATGTTCAGTTGGAGAGCCCTTCAGGCATTCTCAGTATAAATCTAGGATAATACTTTAATAATTGCCTAATGTGGATGTTCATGAAAACGTGTTTTACAGAGCTGGTAAGCAGAGGAAAAAACACTAATAGAAGTTTCTCCAGCCAGTACACAAGTAGAAGCGCATTGCAGCTCAGAGATGAAGGCACTCCCACAACAGAAGTGTGAGGGGAACATCACAGTTTCTATTCCTGGATCTCATCAAGATGTAGTCAGTCCAGTGGCTCTAATGCAGAAGTGCAGTCTGTCTCCCCTGCTTCGTGCAGTGATGACACCACTGCACTAATATCAGAATTATGAAAATATGGTTTTGGGTTATATAAAATTTTCTATTCATTGTGGGAAACCAAGCTGTTGCTCCAGGGCTTTAAATTATTGAAGGTAGCTTTTCTGCCATTCTTCAGAGTGTTTCCTATTGGTTTGTGTTGAATTTAAAAAAGAAAAAAGAAAAAAAATGCTCATTTGGGGTTTTGGTGGTTGCTGTAGTTTTTTATTTCATAGTTTTGTAAATGAGTGGATGTTGCAGAAAGATATTTAACAATATATTAAACTTCAAGGCCATTTTTGCCTGCCTATAATACCTGCTATGAATCAAGAATCTGAGCTATCTGCTTATTTCAGACAAACACAAAGCTTCCCTGCATTGATCACATAAAAAAATATCTCCATTAACTTTCTTGCATGAGAGAAAAATCCAATAATCTCTATTGCCTTTGCTATGCTGTATTTTATTGTGGAGACTACTGAGTCTTTCACATCCAGGTTTTCTAGTTCATGTGTAGTTCAGGCCAGTTCAGTCCTATTTGGCCAAGTCAGCCTCCTCAAAAAGCTACCACAGTTGGGACCTATGAGGATGCCTTGGGATGATGGCTTTAGCAGATTTTTGCATGTGGTAGATATATAAGAGATGCATCTATCTCTGTGTGTCACCAACCCCTTTGCTCTTTGTGACTTGTTCTGTGGAGGTGATTGACACCGGCTTGTTTGTCTGTGCAGAATGGGAACGTCTGCTGCTCGGTGGATTTAGAGTGTCTCAACAATAACTGACGTAGTGAGACTGGACTGTGCCGAGGGAGGAAAACTGATGAAGTTATCACCTGAAATGAAGTCGTATGCATTGGCATTTTATACAACAGACAATTACCAAAGTCTCCACATAAGGAAGATGTTTGGGAGTTGCCTTTGGGACCTATCACTATGCTCATCCTTGCTAGCCTTGTCTGGGTGACTTACAGTACAGCGCATATAAGTCAATGGTTGTTCAAAGTTTTCAGTGTTGTAAATTACACACCTTTCCTGTCAAGACATTTGCAATCATTTAAATTATTTCATGGGTAAACTAATGCTGTATTTTTGTTTTAATTTGTGTATTGACAACATGATAGAATTCAGCTCTTCTTACTTTGGATCTAGATTTTACAAAGACAGCCTGTTGTGATTTTGTCCCATGATATCACATACTTAGTTCCAAGGTCCCTGTCCAGATGTATTTATGAAAATATGTATGTATGTACAGTCAAATTGCATAGTACTTATATTTCACAGCTGTCCAACATTTTAAAGCATTCAAAGGTTTATTTGATTGGACAGAATGAAAGTAATCAAAATAAATCTGTCTTAAAAATTTATAAAATTAAATGCCATGAACTTAAGGAAATGGCAAAAAAGCACTTTGTTCTCTAAACATGCAGAGCAGCAGCAAGACTCCTGTAGTGAGAAACTGAGCTAAAAACACATTCTACTGCCAATTCAACACATAGTCAGGAAGGAATCACCAGAAAAAGGTATAATCCCTCTAGATTGTGCAGTGATAAAACAGCGAGCCTTAAGATGATAGAATTTAAATTGACTAGGTTAGAATTAGCATTCAGTTGTAACATCACTGATGAGTTGAGAATTTTTCCATTTTTTTTTATATTCACAGTATTAATGATGTCTGCCATTCTCAGTTATTGCTACCATAGTGACAAAGTGCAGAAGCACCTGTAGCAGTGACATGTGGGACAGGAGACTTTAATGCTTGGTAACTTTAATTACCCAATTAACAGCTCAGAAACAGATTTTCTCTTTTCATACTGTATGACATTCAAAAATATTTAGTTTTAAATTTACTAGGCACACAGTGTTGTTTAGTACCTACGTTTAGACAGAAACACAAATTAAAACTCTTAGCCCTATATTGAGGTTAGAGTTTAGATTCTTTTCAGCTAATGTCTATTTTTTTCATAAGGCTAGAAAGTTTTTGGCATTAGAACAAGAATATATTTCTATGATGATGGCATCTACACCTTAAATGTCACCTTTTTAACGTGCTGTTGTGTTTTGTTCTGCTCATTTGTGTAGTGTTTTTTGCATTTTGTTTATTTAATTGAACACACAGTATATGGAAAAGAGTTCAGAAATAAGTATAGTGGCTACAGTTTGGAAAGTCTACATTTGTGAGTTTTTCATAATTTCATGCAAAAAATGTGAAACTGATAAAAATGAAGTGTGCTATACAGTGAAAAAATTAGTCGTCTTTTAAATGAAGTACTATTACGTTTCTTATAAGGGGACAGTGGCAAAACTACATAAAAATTACTTACAATAACTCAGACACCTTTATTCCCATTTTTTAAACAGGATTTGTTTTCTCTAACAGGTTTGTGTGGTAAAGTTAAATTTATTTTCTTAAAATGCCCCATCGTTTTCAGCTACCATAATGTATTGACTATATTTGCATTGCCCTAATGATTGTATAATAAGGGAAACAGTTGTGTTTTATATGATACTCAAAGGATGTTTGTAAATCATGTCAGCTCATTTTGTATATCACATTGTAAAACCCAATGGTAATTCAGTTGAATGAGATATCCAGTGGGCTGAGTTATAAAGGGAAGCGATTTAAAACTTGTGGGCATCTAAATAAACTCCTATGTACAGATTGCTTTTCCTTAGTTTTATTAGCAGAGTTTTACAACATTCATCACTGTGCTTTCCAGACTTGAATTAGTGATGTCACTAAAAGGAGAAAGTGTGTGTGCCTGGAGATGTAGCAGCAGAGTTGTAAGAAATACTTTGTTTATACTTATTTGGACAAAATCATATGTTCCAATCTGCCACACACACCAATTTCTGAAACTCTGAGTGGGATTAAAGACAGTGCAGGGTTCGAAAATCATTCTTTTCCTCTTTACCTTGTAGTAGTAAAGCTGTTTCGCAAGATGCTTTCTGGAAGCTCCTGACCTTCTTAGGATCATATTCAG